GTGCTGTTGTTGGTATTACTGGACGGGTTGTAGGTGGTGGTCGATTCAAGAGTCCTTTGAAGTGGTCCGCCCATTGTTTAATCTGTCTTTCCTCCTTGGTAATTGGGTTCCCTTGGCTGTCTTTTATAGGTTTCACTTGTGTTGATCTCTTCCCGGATAGAGACTTGGTTATCTGATATAGTGTCCTCAGGTCCCTTTTGCCTGCTGCCTTCTCAGCTTCAGTGGCCAGGTTGTCGTGGAATTGTCTTTTGTCCTTCCTAGCACTCTTCTTCACTTCTTTGTCCAGTGCTGTGTAAGTTGAGTTCAGCGTCTCTTTCTCTTGTCCATCTTTGCATTGAATCATTTTTTCTTTCACCTTTCTCCTCTCCTCTATTAGTTTCCAAGTGTCTGTTGAGAGCCATTCCTTGTCTTGTTTCTTCTTTCTTCCTAAAACCGTTGAGCACGTCTCGTTGAAAATTAGCTTCAGAGAGTTCCAATGGTCTTCCACGGATGATTCCTCAGTGGTGCCACGTAGTGTTTCCTGCTTTGCTCTGACAGTTGCAGTGAAAATGTCCTGTGTGATTGTGTCCTTCAGTTTGTGAGTGTTGAACTTGCATTGTGGCCTATCCCCAGCTATCCTCGAGGCTTTCAGCTTCACCTTGAAAGTCCCTTGTACTAGATAGTGGTCTGAACCCACATCTGCTCCTCTCCTCGATCTTGTGTCCAGTAGACTCCGTCTCCACTTCCTTGAGATTGAAATGAAGTCTATCTGGTTTTTGGTGTGTCCATCTGGTGAAATCCATGTTGCCTTGTGTATATCCCTGTGTTTGAACACACTGCCACCAATCACCAAATCATTGAAGGCGCAGAAGTCTGAGAAGAGTTCGCCATTTTCGTTCATTTCACCGAGGGCCTCACGACCCATGGTGAGTTCTCTTCCTCTGTTGTCTCCTCCCAGTTTCGCATTCATGTCGCCCATCAGGATTTTGATATCGCTCTTTGGGACGTTGTCCATTACTGTTTGTAGTTGACTGTAGAAATCCTCCTTCTTCTGGTGTTCTGAGGCGTTTGTAGGCGCGTAGCACTGAATGATTGTAACCTTTTTTCCTTTTGAGTTGAACCTGGCTGTCATTATCCTGGAGGAGATTGGTTCCCACTGCATGAGAGCTTTAGCCGCTGTTGGTGACATCATGATGGCTACTCCCTCGGTGTGCTCGTGATTGTCCTCTGGGTGACCGGAGTAGATTATTGTCTCTCCAGTTGATAGTTGGCTCCTTCCACATCCGTTCCATCTGCTCTCGCAGATTCCCAACACTTCTATTTTGTATCTCCTCATTTCTGCGGCAACCTGAGCAGCCTTCCCAGCTTCGTACATTGTACGAACATTCCACGTCCCCATCCTTATTTTCGCTTTCATCGAAAGAAGGCACATCGGCTGACTGGCTTCCCGAAGGCTTTCACCAGCCCGCGTCATTTCACTTCCCCGATTCCAGCGAAAAATAAGGTCACTATTTGTAATTTTAGAATTTTGAATATATTTGTGCGTTGAAGTTTTAGTAGCAATTTGGTTAAGTTTTGGGGGTGGAGTTGCTAGCACCACGCCCCAACCCTCCCTCTTTATCCGGGCTTGGGACCGGCTAGAATACTAGTGACCTAGTAATCTAGGCGAGGTTATTTAAGCATCTTTAATGAACTGTAATTCCGTTGTGATCTTACTTGACAAATCGATATTGTTTAAAAAACACCAATATTGTTATTGACTACTAATCTAGAATATTCTTTGTATATAAACATTTAGAGCCAGAAGAGGAGGAAATTATCGAAAAGGATATTCTTTGCTCAATTATTTTGTGTTTTATAGATGTCTGAATGAATATTTCTGCTACATTGTAAATCTGTTTCGTTATCGGTTGAAGAATAAACAACCGTTTTCTGTTGTTCTGCATCGGTTGTATTGCATATTATTCTGCGTATTAGGCTTAGTCTTCTGAAATCAGAGATATATCCCGGATCTCTACAATCTGGATATTTGACACAACTACTCATATCAACCAGTCAGTAGTATACCGTTTCATACCAAACTGAAATTGTTCCAACCATAAAAGTGATTATTGAAGCAATAAGTGAGAAAATTGATTATTTATGAAAAAATATGAGACATGTAATCCAGCGAAGAGGCTTTTTCATTGGACACTAGTAACTAGTGTGATGTGTCTGGCTAGTCTGGTGCAGACTGAATTCTATCAGTCAGTCAGGTTTGTAATGTGACCACCATGCCACTAGGTAGCTCGCCATCACGGTGCACATTGATTTGATGATATCAGATGGTTGAAGGCAATTGGCCACAAGAAGCCTTGCCTTGGACCTAAGTTTCATACTAGTTGGTACTCACCAGTCAGTCAGCAAGGAATAACTCATGTCCCTTCTGAGATTCGAACCCGCTTTTGTTTTCGGGGAACTCACTTTCCTACGATTGTATATTGTGCAACCGCTTTCGGTTGTTCTAAATAGGTCACAGTGCATAGCTTTCTACGTTTTAAGCTTAGTGTTTTGAAACCAGTGATAGGTCCGGGATCTTTGCCATCTGGATATTTGACACACTGATTAATTTGCATTCGCTGTGCAAAATCTATCGCATACAGCTTATGGAGCACGGTTCGAATTTTCAAGATTAATTTCAAGTCAGTACAGAAACTTTTCGCGTCATGTCAGGCATTCTCAACAGGTTGCAGACTTCCACAAACAGTTGCCATCGCTACCCACTGAAGATCAGATATGACTAGTTGGAAGTTATTAGCAACCTGTTGCATGATTACGGTAGACTGGATAGTGTGACAGACAGTGGCGCGTAGCGAGGAAACAGGTATAAAATGGACCCACACAAAATACGTGGAGGATCTGGACTTCGCCGATGTGATATATATATGTGATTTCCCACAAATTGCAAGATATGTAAGTGAAAGGCAACAAGTTGGCAGAAGAAGCATCCAGAGAAAATAGGACTTCAGGTGAACATAGAGAAAACAGAGGTGATGAAGATTCTTGGTCAACAGCAACAGTGACAGCAACAACAACAGACAACAATCAGCACAAATGGGAGAAATCTGAAAAAAGCAACCTCCTTTACTTACTTACCTACCTACCTACCTTCCTGGGAAGCATCATTTCAACTACAGGCTGACGGAACTGATGACGGTTGTCAAGGCAAAGATCGGCAAATCAATGCAAGCTTTCATTACTCTCGAGTCTGTGTGGAGATTAAAAGCATTGCTCAGCATGAAAAATAAGATCCGGATTTTCAACTCCAATGTGAAGTCAGTGCTACTCGCCATATGGATTAGAGACTTGACGCTGCGTCACGAAGGGCACTTCGAACAAACTACAGACATTCATCAGCAGCTGTCTTCGCTCAATACTACTCAAAATCAGGTGACTTCCGAAAAAAGATCAGCGACAGGAATCTCTGTCAGTGAGTGAACCAATCCAGCAGGAACTGAGTGTGCTACAAATAAGCAGGAAGAAATTGAGGTGGATTGGCCATACTGTGAGAAACCAAACCATCAGGTGACATCACACCAGAGGCCCCCTCTTTCTCGAGTGTAACCCGAATGGGAAGCGTTGAGTTGGTCTTGAGTGTGAGGGTAATATGGAAAAGGTAATGGGAATGGCAGAAAAAGGCATATGGGCAGATGTGGAGCTAGGCGAAAACGTTGGCAAAGAACCGGAGGTGATGGAGATGTGGGGCTGAAGCCCTATGTTCCATTAGGAACTAAAGGAAACAACAACAATAATAATATTGCCTAACAAATATGCAGAAAAAAGTGCGGACAGATAGGAAATTCACTGAGGAAACCACTGAGTGACATCACAAGTCAAGTCATTCACAGGGACTCGAATGGGATACGACAAGTTGAGTGTCACTCCTACAATGAGACGACGGAGATCGTGAAAGGAAGAGGGAATAAAAGCTTACGGGCAATCTTGAAGTCTAGTGAAAAGACCTACGGAGGACAGAATGCAATGAAGATTTATCACTGAAGCCACTAGGATTTTTGTATGCACATAAAAAAGCAAACTGATTTAACCATCTCTGTCTTTTTCTTAGTTAGTGAAAACAATTTCAAGAAATAGTGTATCGATTCCTTAAGAAAAAAACTGCACTTTTGACATAAATGACGACAGTGACATTTGTTAAGTATTTACCACTATTCACAAAAAATTTATCGTTATAATCACTTAAGAGAAGAGAAGAGAAGACAAGTAGATTTGACAAGGCCTGTTTATTACTCTTTTGTTGTTGTTGCTTTTTGTTTCGGATTTTTTCCATGTTACACCAATTATGTTACAGACAAATGTCATCGGTTGGAGTATTTTGTTGTTTTTTGTTTTTACCATCGTGCAAACATACTGTCTTTCAAATTTGGTTATTCTTCTATCCCAATCAACACCTCCCTCTCCGCACTTTTCTTTCCTTCGTTGTCTCCATGTTCTTCCCCCATTTTCATTTACACACATTAAAAATAACAATAATAAAAGTTTTCCCAAAGAAAAATAAGTGGAAAATAGTAGAAAAAGAAGAACATGACAAACTGACATTTTAAGTACACTTTTTTTTAACATGTATACATGAACCCGTCCACCTCAGAGAAGTTCAAAAAATTCTACAGAGAATGAAGAAAAAAAAAACAACAAAATTAGATGAATTCTTGTAGAAAAATACTACAAGGTGGTAAAAGTGGAATATAGAATGAAGATGATGAATGAATAACATAGAAAAAAAATAAATCACAATTCTCCTCTCTAACTATTTTTTCTGGTCATTCCTTTTCTTAAGGTTCGATTTTTTAAAACAGTACTTAAGAGAATATGTGTGGGGTATCTATCTACTTTGTGCGTAATCAGTTTCCGTGATATTATGTATGCATATCGGCATTCTGATTGGTTAATGGTTTTCGACCTTGAATGACTGACTCTATAAATGTGTGTGTGTGTGTAATCTAACCAATCAGAAAAGAGCGGACATTTAAACTTGTTAGAGTGATTTATTAAAATTTTGATATCTTTATTTCAAAATACAATAGGAATACAAAACAACATAAATAACGTTTTGAAATAATTACATTAAACAAGCAAAAATACCTCGAAAATTATAAACTCCAACTTTATTAAGATTCGTTTTCTTGTTATTCCAATGTCTACTACATGTAAAGAAATATTTTATGCTTTAATGTGATCGACGTACATAAATAAGGGTATTAAAAATTGTGAATATGAAAGGATTAATTACAATATTTGGAGTTTTTGTGTTGTTTGGTAAGTAAAATATGGATAATAATTATTTCATTTTTGTTTGTTTGTTTATTACGCAACCGAATCTGTTTTTGCGCCTATCTGTGTAGAGTTACTTCTGACAAAACACTGGGAAAAAGCTTTATCAGCAAATCAAAATAAGTGATCCAGCAAAGAGTCGCTTTTCAACAAATGTTTCATCAGACTGTACAATCCTATGCGAAAGATTTTTTGATTAATAATGTGAATTGTGACAAAAATAATTGGTCATGTACTGTGTAAAATAGTCCATGAAATAAGTAAATCTTAAAAATGGGGTGTAAAAACAATAAGACTTCAAGTTAGAGCACTGAATTTTCACTAGCAGGGGTTTTATTTCTATGAGTTGGGGTTTGCTAGTCTCACGCTCAACGTTCTCTCTTTACCGGCCCTCCTATGAGCTTAGCGAGGTTTAGGAGTGCGCCTGTGGCTGGGGATCGAACGCCGGACCACGTGAGGCGTGGTTAGCAAGCGTTCTACTGCTAATGCACCAGTGGACATTATTCAAAAAGGTGGGATTCACGACAAGACAATATTTCAAAACAGTTTTATTGAATAATTTAATAATTCCCATTGTAACTTTAAGAACACAATATTCAGTGAAGAGACTCTTTTCAACGAATTTATTGTCAAACTGTACAATTATATATATATATATGGCTTTTAAGGAAGCATATCTGGTGAGGGAGCTGAATCATAGGTGTGGATGCATAACATAATAATCGTAGTATGAAATGCAACTAAAATGTTTGTTATCATAATCATAGTTCAATGTGAAGTGGTAAAACAATTAGTGTCATATATGGAATAATTCACAAGGTGGATGGATTTTGGAAAGGGGTGCATAATTATAAGATTAGTGGGCTAATATAAAATGTTACATAACATAGTGTGAAATTCGATAAGATAGAATTCAATATTGTCATGTGATCACCACACGGTTCTTTGCTGGCTGATTGTTTTATGGCAAAGCTTGAAAACTCTCAACTTAGTAAACCATCGATCATTTCGACATTAATAAAAGATACGTAGACGACACTTTCGTTATCTGCAATAATAAAGTAATTCATGATGATGCCTTGTTTGCTTTCAACAACTGCCATCCTTCTCTACAATACACCATAGAAAAGGAACCTAAACTAAGTATTCCGTTTCTTGATGTGTGCCTTAGTAGACGTAATGACGGATCTCTCAAAAGATACATCCACCGGAAACGTAAATGGAATGGACAACTAACTAATTTTTACAGTTGGGTGCCTATCTCCAGGAAAAGGAACCTAATTCATCCACTCTGCCTTAGGATAAGAAAAATTTGTAGTTATGACTGTGTGGACTCAGAACTTGACTTCCTAAAGGCCACGCTGGCAGAAAACCGTTACCCGAACCGATTTATTAGCAGTAACACGTGTGTATATCACTTAAACTCTCATATGGTCTGTGAGTACGACTTGTAAACACAGAAGAGGCAATCAGAATTCATCTAAACAAGCCAAACCTGTGAAGCCGGTGTCCCCCAAGGTGCTGTACTCTCCCCACTTCTCTTTTCTTACTTTCTACATGACTTACCATCTTCAAATGACATTAATTTTGTCAAATATGCTGACGACCTGACTGTATCTTTGCCTGTCAAATGTCAAAGCGACTGCTCTAAACTTAATGGCTTTCTGTCAGAAATCAGCCAGTGGTCCAAGGAAAACGGTCTTACCCTAAACCCCTTCAAATGCCAAACAGTCAATTTCACCTTTAGGCATAAATCCGACCTAAACAAACTGGTTGGCTCTCACGAGGTATGCAACATAGATGGCACTGAAATAGGAACCAAATCGGAAACTAAATACCTAGGCGTCATTCTATCTGCTGATCTCTCCTGGTCGTCTCATATCTTAGCGATTTCTAAGAAAATATTACGTCTTACCTTCTACATCAAGAAGTTAAAACATTCTGGTACAACTTAACCCTCACTACTACAATTCGTTAATTCTCGCATTCTACCTATTATTCTCTATTGTTCCCCCTTAGTTTTTCCCAGGCTACTGAAGAAAGACTATAACATATTACGCAGGATGCTAAAGGTTGTCAGCAGGGTAAGCAGCGTGCCACTTAACCAGCTTGTTAATATTCTGGTTGACAGGCACATGGACTCATGTGAAAAATGGGCCAAATCCATTTTATCTAACTCACACCACCCTCTTCACTCACAACTCTCCCCTCCCCGTGCATCTCATCAGGCAAAACCAGAAGCCTATATAGAAAACTATATGCTCGCACTAGCAAGTACAAAACCCAACCATACCCTACTTAGCTTGTGTTCTGTGTGATAAAGAAAGCATTAGGCGTGACACCTATAATTCATTAAATAGTCAGTAGAACAACTGGACCTCGTCTTTCCAACTCATATCATTTATAGGTACAACATTTTGTTTCTTTCTTCTCCTTTTCTCTCTCTCTCTTTTTCTCTTTTTTTCTGTTATGTGCTGCTTTGTTTCTTTCTCTCGCTTACGCCAGTAAATATGACAGCTCCTACTTTTCTAACACCTTCAAACACTGTTCAGCTTTACCTTTGCTACCGACATGCCAATATGTTGTTGTCATAATGAACTGAGATTTCCTTAATCTATGTAGAATTCTATTTATTGATAATGTACTGTAGTAAAAATGCTGAGAATTCCATTCTGTATCACAAGTACTGTTTTGGAATAAAGCAAATTATTATTATTATTGTTGAAAATTTGTGCACCCGCCTTTCTTTGCCTTGGACAACTACATAATATGTATTAGTTTTTGCAAACGATTTCACCCTCCTCTTGTGGCTATCTTTCGAATTTACTATTTTATTATGATTACAAATCAAGCTAATTCAGTTGACTTTTTTGTATCTTATGTAGTCCTACTTAGTCATTCTATTCCTCTCAGTCATCATTGCTGTTTTACAAATTTCTTGATTTTGTGATAACTCGTTGCTAACTCCTACGAATTAACTGATCTTGGATTTCGCAATTAATTATTTTTGCCCCTCCCTCAATGCGTAGACATCTTGTTGCTAATATCTACTAGTTAATTGCTTTGATGACTTTTAATCTCTTATTTTCACGCCACCTTCCATACCTAAATCTGATAATTCCTATGGAATAACATAACCACATGATTGCTATACTTCTGGTGTGAGGGAAATACATATTTTAGTGTAGAGCCTATGATGAGGAACTAATTGACAAGGAATATATTTCTTTGATGATATTAGATAGTTGGAGGCAATCGGTAGGAAGTCTTGGACCTAGGTTTCGCGCTAGTTGGCACTCACCAATCAGCAAGGCGTATCTGCAACTGCCTTGAAGGAACTCATGTCTCTTCTGAAATTCAAACCCGCGTTACCCAGTGCTGCAGTCAGACATGTTACCACTGAGCTATTCAGGCTCGCGATTGATCTCCTGTAGGACTGTAGAGGGTATTTTAATTGGACACTAGTAACTAGTGTGACATGTCTAGTCCTTTCTTTGGTACAGACTGAATTCTATCAGTCAGGTTTTCAATGTGGCCACCATTCTAGGTAGCTCGCCATCATAGGGCACTGTAGATTGTTGTTATAAGATGGTTGGAGGCAATCGTCAGGAAGCCTTGGACCTAGGTTTCGTGCTAGTTGGAACTGATCAGTCAGCAAGGCGTATCTGCAACCTTGAAGGAACTAATATCCCTTCTGATGGCGAGCTACCTAAAATGGTGGCCACATTGAAAACCTGACTGATAGAATTCAGTCTGCACCAAAGAAAGGACTAGACACGTCAAACTAGTTACTAGTGTCCAATGAAAATATGCATTACTTTGCTCAGTCTGCTGTTTTTTTCTGAATGTTTATGTATACAAATTTTCAAATCATAAATAATTCTGTAATTGATTAAACATGCCCATTAAAATTTTTTCAAAAGAATGGATACTGAACAAAGAGTACTCTTTTCGATAACCCCTCCATCATCAGGCTCTACAGTTATGTATACATTATAGTGAGCGAATGAATTAGTGTTCTGAACAACATTAATGTTGTTTAAATAACATCGAATCAATAATAATAATATCAATGGATTACAGTTCAATAGAATCAACATAACAATGAACTGAATGTCAGAAAGGCGAATTAGGAAAGGTAATAATACAGATTCATGAATTTATAGTCTCTACTGAAGTCCAGGGCAGTAGAAGTGACTGGTAGGAATTGTTTGTTTTGCACACAGAGCACTGGTTGTTTCACACAAACTGCGATAGCCCCTGCTCTTTGGAGCACGCGGTGTTTCGATGATGATTTTGGCAATTTATTTGGCACCCAGTGGGTGATAGAGAAGGATTCTTCAGTGCTGGCTTTGTGGCCGGCAGGTTTGGACCAGGTGGTCTAATATCGAACTGTTGATGATGGTTTTCACTACACATTTACACATTTAGCCATACTGGGAGATGTTCTCGAGCAGTTCACAGTTCAAAGGGAAATTTCACTACAGCTTTCGCTAGAAACCAAATTTATCGAAGCCGCAACTCATTATCTGTTGATTCGTTAAAACGGTTATCAAGAAATCAATGACAAATACATGACGCTACATATTACTGACTGGTTGATATGAGTAGTTAGTTACCACTTGCAATGACTGACTCATTTCTCACCTACAACAGTAAACTCCTTTTTATGGAAATATATATTCAGTGGAGATTTCATCAAGAGCCAACATGTGTTAGAAAACATAAATTTCCTCGCCTATTTGTGGATTCAAGCTGGGTATCCTGAAGTTCTGATTAGAAGTTCTGACCAGTGACCTCTCCTCGTGACCTAAGGGTTCAGAGTTCTATACTTGGTGGAATCATGGGTACTTACTACTAAAGATGTCCAAGAGTTCTAGTGCTATCCTGAATCAGACAACATACTCAGATAAAGCAATAAGAAGAAGTAATTTGTCTGAATCGTGTGTACTGTTGCATTTGCGCAACACATTTCGAACAATCTT